TCGAGCTCGCCGGATGATGTCCCCGGTGCTGCCCGCCTAGTTCTGGGCTTGCTTCTAGCCGGGCAACTGCATGCTCATTATTCTGCTTCATGCGTTTGTTCCGAGACTTTGAACCGGAGGTTTTGAAAGTTAGAGGGATACGGAATTGTCGGTTGCTATCCAGACACTCCTACCATACCGTATTGATTTGAACCGCCCGTCAAGTACATCGTCCCAATATCGTGCGTCGTCGATTGGCAAAATGGCTCATTCTGGGAATAAGTACTCAATCTCACTTAACTCCTCGACTGGATGAATCGGCTAAGAACTCTGCCACTGCCCTTCCTGCTGATTGCGTGTTACATATTCAGGTTGAATTCGGAGAGCACAACAACCAACGAAGGGGGCTAGCCCGTATCCCGTAAGTGTCGGTTTCTCGAAAAGGTATTGATAGTGGGATCGATCGTGAACACCAACATTACGGAGTGAGCTAACAGGTAGTGGCCGTACTTCTGTCTGTAGCTCCAATCACAAAAGCTCAGCCAAGCCTTCTCCAACCAGTGTGTAACGGTCCTACTCTAGCAATCTTCTTTGCTCAGGCATAGTAGATAGCCTTTCCACCTTGTGTCTCTATGATTCTTTCGCGAAGCATCACAACCCATTGTGGTTTCTCGGTTACCGAAATACAATATCAACCGGTCTCGCTCCCCGTGTCTGGTGGTGAAAAAAGACGGGTTTCTGTAAGTATTCCTTGAATCTGTTTGAAAGCAACTTGGCATCGCTGCCTGTTTTCCCATTGGAATTTTTCCTATCCTTTCTTCAGGGAGACAAAAAGTGGTTCACTAAGTCAGGTTAAAATTTTGAAAATATAACCGTCTTATGAATTGCTTTAACCCCAGAGCCCTCGCACCTCTTTTCAGTCTTGGTGGGTGGCATTTCTAGGATGGCCTTGTTTTGGGGAAGGGTTTGACGTGTCGGATGCCCCTTTGTGTAAGATCAGAAACCCTAAGCATTTTTTTTCCCCTCGCGGCTAGACCGCGTGAATGATGGACGGCTAGGTGCCGGTCAACCTAAGTTTGGAAGGCGTTTGGTGCGGGAGAATAACATTCGTTTTGCGGAAATCCGCGAGACTCGAGTTTTCTCTATGCGACGTTTCTTTATTATATGTCGTAGTTAGATTACTGTTGACTCCTATTTGCTCAGACCGACCTGTTGGCATGGTGTCGGTGGTTACTTCGTCGCACCGCGACCATGAGCGTGACTTAAGGCTTATAGACTCGGTGAAAAGATTCCTCGCGCGTTCCTGATCCCGTATGGATTCGAACCTTGTTGTGTCTCAAGCAAAAGGAGACTGGAAAGTCAAAGAAGAAAAGATGATGATGTATCACTAGACCTTGGACTTGTTAATTCCTCGGTTTGAGAAGCTAAACTTTTCTCATTTACTAAGAGAGAATAACAGGTTCGCAGATTCTTTAGTAACTCTATCTTTCATGATAGACATCCCATTCGGAGTCCGGATGCGTCCCGTCATCATTAACCAGAAATTTGCGCCAGCCTACGAGTCAATTGCTGCTATAGATGAGGTTCAAGACGAAAACCCTTGGTATTACGACATTTGGAACTTCTTGGAGAGAGAGGTGTATCCACCAGGGGCAAATGACAAGGATAAAAGGGCAATCAGAAGAATGGCCGTTCAGTTCATCATCTGTGGGGGTAAGCTGTATAAGAGAGGTCATCTGGGAATGCATAAGCTGTGTGTTGAAGCCGAGGAATCGAAGCGCCTGATGGAGGCCATCCATGGAGGAGAATGCGGTGTGCATATGAACGGAGTAATGCTAGCACGGAAGATCCTCAGACAGGGTTACTACTGGTCCACCATGGAGGAGGATTGTATCGGCTTTGTTCGGCGATGCCACAAGTGTCAGATTCATGCAAACCGCATGAACATCCCACCGTCAAAGCTGTACAACATGACTTCGCCATGGCCATTTTCAGTTTGAGGAATCGATGTGATCGGGGCTGTCACTCCAAAAGGGTCGAATGGGCATGCGTTCATCCTGGTCGCGATAGATTACTTTACGAAGTGGGTCGAGGCCCAATCGTATATGGTGTTGAAGGCTTCACGTGTTGCGAAATTCATCAGAAACAACATCATCTGCCACTATGGGGTCCCAAACGAGATTATTTCAGATAATGGTTCCCATTTCAAGAAGGAAGTGATTGACTTGTTGGAGAAATATAACGTGGCTTTTCACAAGTCATCCACATACTGGCCGCAAACCAACGAAGCAGTCGAGGCCGCCAACAAGAATATCAAACACATACTGCAGAAGATGGTGGAAACCTACTGGGATTGGCCAGATAAGCTGCCATTTGTTCTGTGGGGCTACAGAACTTCAATTAGAACTTCTACCGGAGCGACTCC